CTGAGCTGCAGACCAGGTAGCAGAGTGTAATGAGAGAGGCCAGAAACTCAAGCAATACAGGTTGTGTCTAGGGGTGCTCAGCTGAGGGGGAGCCCAGGGCTGCAGCCCCTCCCACGCTTGACTCTCTAAGCCACACACCCTCACAGGGAACTGTGTCCACCTGAATGAAGAGGTGATGCTACTAATTTGTGAACATGTGCTGCTACTCATAGGCTAGTGAACAGAAGTTTATTGTCAGGGCCTTCTGTGTCCCTTCTTCAATACCTCAGGCAAATCACTGCACTTCCCTGAGCCTGGACTTCCTCGTCTTGTGTTGAAATTCTGCAGTTAAGAGAGTGGTGCTCAATCACTGCTAATCCATGATTATCTGTCTCTCTCTCTTGCTCACTTGCTTGCTCATTCACTCATTCAAGTTTTAGGGAGCACAGAGAATTATAAAGACTTGGCCCCCACCTGCTTGAATCTCATAGTCTGATGGAGAAGACAGGTGCTCACAGAGAAGGTAACATAAAGCGGGTGACAAGTACTAGAACCAGAAGGGGGAGGCTGTCAGGAGGGAGAAGTCATTTTGTAGCTAGAGGTGATCATTTTGGTGCTGCTCATAATTAACATGGTAAGAACAATAATGTAATGAACATAGACTATGCTAATTAACGAGTGCCAGCTACATGTCAGGCACTGAGTGAGGCACTTTCTCTGTGTGACCTCTAGACCCACCACCCCAGCCCGAGAGGTGGCTGTCATCATCCCATTTTACAGGTGATGGTGATCAGGAGTGGATGTACGCTGGACCTTGCAGGAAGATTTTAAATGTCAGAGATTAAGGAAGAAAGGTTTTGAGGTAGAGGAGGAAAACGAATGGACACGCATAGGAGTGGGCATAGCTGGGGAAACCCAGCAGTTCTAGGAGCGGGGAGACTATGAGAACTTGAGGTTGAGGTTGCTGAAAGAAGAAGAAGGTTGGATGGTGGGGATGAGACTCTGGAAGCCGAGACTTGGGGAACCATCCAGAGGCAGACTGTCAGTTTAGGTTTTTTTTGTTGTTGTTGTTGTTGCCAGGAGGAGAAAATAGGAGACCAGGACCTAGAGGGGGGGTGTTTGCCCAGGCTGTGCTGAGCTCTCCCATTTAAACCTGTTGGTATGCTCAATGACATGCAGAGAGGTGAAGCAACTTGCCCATGGCCGTAGGTCTGTCCATCTAACCCTGAGTAGTACTGGCATGTAAATTAATAAACACACCAAGATTTGGATTTATATGGATTTTTTATGGATCATGGGCAATGATTTTTTTTTAATGCATTTGACCAATTTGCAAGGTAGACATAGGGCCAAGCGTTCCACAGTTGCAAAACAGAAAGCCAAGTGGCCCTGCACAAGTCCTTTTCCTTCCCCTCTTCACCCAACTCCCCAGAGTCTAATGGCCCCTCTCCATTTGACCTGCTCTGCTTTTCCCTCCATTCCCTGACAGGAGGGATTAGACATTCTCTTAAAGAGGTAGGGGAAGAGAAGGAAATACCCACATGGACTCCTATCCCCTGAGATTTTCCCTTGATGATCCAGCTTGGCTCTGCATTTGTGGGAATACCTCAGCCAGCAGGAGGAAGGCTCTTAGCCACAGAGCTGTTTTCCTTTGGGTGGATCCCCCCAAAAGAGATGGAGAGGAGAGAGGCTGGGGCCGGGGAGCCAAGGCCCTGGATGGCTGCCATAGAGTCTTCCTCTTGGGGGAAATGGAGGCTCCTCAAAGTGTGAAAAAAAAAAAAAACACACCTCATGTACAAGCAAGGGAGAGGCTCCAACATCCCACATCTCTGCCTTGGGCCAGGACTAATACCACCCCCAGAAAAGATAGGCTTCTGTAATTACAACTGAATAAACAACCAATTAAAATGTCTCCCCTGCCCCACCTTACCCCATCTCTTCCCCTCTTGAAGCCTTCCCAGCCCAGAACAGCAGGGCAAAGAGGTGACTTTGTCTAATAACATCTGTGTCCTCTGCCTGAGAGAATGCTTGATGGAAATGGACAAATCAATTAGAAAATAATAAATAATGTGGAATGGGCTGATCCAAGAAAATCTCGGCTTCTCTTTTGTTTTCACTCGCCCACACATTGTTTCCCTTTTCACCGTGGCCCCGAGTGAGCCTGGAAATGAGGGTGAGCTCGTGGGAAGAATTGGACACTTTGAGATTTGTGCTTGGCTTCGTCACTATTTATGTGATCTCTGAACCCCTGTCCCTTCATCTCTAAGATGGGGGTAGATAATAGAAATAGCTAAACATTTATTGAGGTTTTCTACATGCCAGGTATTTTTCTAAGTCTTTTACGCTTTTCCTTTATGACAGCCTCAAATCCTCTGAGCAACTCAACGAAGGTAGGTGTTTTGTGTATACAGAAGCTGGGGCAAAAAATAATGAAGTAAATTGCCCAGCGTGATCCAAACATCAGATACATCAGTGGAAGAGCTGGATTCAAACCCAGGACTCTGGCTTGAGAACAAGTCATCATACCCACTGGGCTGCATGGCTTTGAATACTGCAGACATGGAATAGAAGGTGTTGTCTAGCATAGGGGCTGGTGGACAGCAAGTGCTTAATAAATGTTGGTTTTCTCTTTCCTCTTTCTTTCTCTGGTCACAGAATAGACTGACTGAAACTCCTTAGAAGGCTTCCAGTCTAAGAAGGTGAAGGTAGGATTTTCAGGTTGAGGAGGCATGGCAGCAATATTTCAGGTCAATATCTAAGCATATGGCTATCCTGGAGACTGGTCAAATCAACCCAGACATACCTATGACCTCTCCTGCTCCTGTCTGTATCGCCAACTTATGTTCACCTTATTTTGAAAAGCCAGAAAAAATTATGGTCACATGATCACTGGGCTCTTGGTGATGTGGGGGACCAGAGGGCTCTCTAGGTCTCAGATATGTCTGTTCTCATTGGAGTAGAGGAATGGGTTTGTGACCCATAGGAATGCTCTGTGAAGCACTAAGATAGCTGCTGCTAATCCAGTGTATTAGCAAAGAAATAGGCCTTCTAGGAAGGAAACTGGGGCCTAAGTATTTTAGCTTTTTTCTTTCCCAGTGTAAATTGAACCCCATCAACATCAACTGAGTGCTGACCCGTGGCAAGCCCCATGCTGAGAACGGGGTAAACAAAAATGGATAAGGCATGTTCCCCACCCCAGGGAGCCACAGATGGTGGTGGATATAGACAGGTGGAGTGATGATTTGGAATAGTGTGAATGTGTGGATGAGTGCAGAGATGGCAAAGGAGGAGGTGTGATGGGAATCAAAGAAGACTTCCTTGAGGAGGGGCACCAGAATGGGCTTTGGATGTGTTTATCAGGGGACGAGATGGGGAACCGAGTCCCTGACAGAAAGAACAAACAAGTGAAGACATCATGGATGATGCGTCATGGTGGGCGCCCCCAACCCACACTGGGAAATTCGAAAGAGGGAGCAGAGAGAGCTGAGGCTATAGAAGGAGGCAGTATCTTGGAGGCTGTGCTGGGGATCTTGGGCTTACTCTTGCACATACAGGAGGCTCTTCTATGACTCCAGGAGGGGAAAAGAGAGGGAACTGTCATAAAAGTATTCTACCAGCCAGGATTTGGGCCAACCTGTCAAGGACAGATAGCATTATGAAAAAGGTAAACACTTTCAACTCGCTGTGCAACCTTAGCAAGCTCTGAAGGTTCTTTATGTCTCTTTTCCCTCCTCTGGAATATGGGCATAATGATACTACCTACCTCAGTCTTATTAAGAAGATGAAAGGAGATAATCCATGTAAAGTCTGACCACCTAGAAGAGCCCATCAAACACTAAATATCATTATTCATAGACTTTATCTCACCTCCTACATCAAGCTGCCTGCTTGTTTATGTATATTTTTATTCAGTGATTCATTGGTTCATTTCCAGCCTTACTCAAGAAATGATTATCAGCTGCTCATAAGGATACATGACAGCAGACATAAAATGGGGGCTGAAAGACTCAGGAGAAAGCAGCAAGATGCCTCTGTTGATTTAGAAAATGATCCATTGAGTAATGTGCCTGTGACTGATGGAAAGCATTAGTGTCTCTGTGGTGATAGGAGAGCCAGACTCTATGAATGAGGAGTTCTTATTTATTGAGCACCTAGGATATGCCAGCCTCTTTTCAAAGACCACCTCTTCTGCTCGCCAACATGTGTTCATTGTATGTATTAAAGAGCTAATGATGATAATGGGGAGTTAGTTCACTTTCCTGATATGCCAGTCTACAACGGCAGCCATTCCAAATGCAATATCCCTAAGTCCATCTTACAGACTAACAACTAAAGGCATACAGAATGTAGAATCATCTGGTGGGGGGAGGGGGCGGGCAGCATGATGCCCAGTGACAAGAGCATAAGTTTCCAGGGTAGACAGAATTGGCCTTGAAACCCATTTCTGTAACTTTGGGCAACCTGTGTAATCACATTTGGACCATGTGTTCCTTATCTTGAAAAGGAAGCAATAACACCTCTTTGCAAGGTTGGTGTGCAGATAAAAGCAGGCCTCCTAGTATAGTCCGTGTTTGCCAAATAAATGGTTTGACGTTCATAGTGAATGAGTGAAATAGAAAAGAAGCCAAGACTAGAATACATGTTGCCTTTTCCATGGTCTATGTCTTTGATTTACATCCACATTTATGTGGCCCTGTCACCAGTCAAGATAGCAGAGCCCTGAAGAGCAAAGATAGAGATTTTAGGTAAATCTTGTTTCTAAAGTGAACTCTGCTATATATAAGCTGAGCAAACTTCTCAAATCTCTTAAACTCAAAAGGACTTAATTTTCTCAGCTGTAAAATGGGATCATCTCACTTACCTTATAACATCGTTGGGGGGAAGTCACGGAGGTAATGTTTATCAAGTGTTTAACGAAGTGCCTGGCACATAGTAGCTCTTAATTACTTGGGGAATAGCTGTTATTTGAAGAGTACCTTTTTTGGATGGTGATGACAGCTAAGGTTCTTTTTCTATTACAGAGCATACTTGGATGTTAATGAACTGAAGAACATTCTTAGACTGGATGGATCAACACACCTTAATATCTTCTTTGCAAACTCCTCGGAGGAGGAATTGGCAGGAGTAGCAACTTGGCCATGGGACAAGGAGGCCCTAATGCACTTAGGTGAGAATTAGAAACTTCTTCAGGAGGAAATTGGATTAGCGCAGGAATAAATTTAGTGGCAATGATAATGATGATGATGAGCATGACTAGGATGATGGTGGTGGTGGTAATGATGACGAGTAATCTATTAATCGCTTTCTAGTATACCGAACTCTCTAGCATTTCTTATCTCATTTCAACTGCCGAGCATTGCTCTGAAGAAAATAACATGGTACTATTAGCCCTGTTTTACCAATGGGGAAACTTAGATCCACAGAAGGAATAGAGCTTATCCAAGGTCACACGCAAGTCCATGGCAGAGCCACGTTTGGAATTCAAGTTTCCAACTCTGTCCTTTGATTGCTTTCTTTACACACCCCTTACCTCTTAGTGCATACAAATATCCTCTCAGCCTGGTAATCACTTTGTGCTGACACAACTAAGTCATGAGTTGGCTTGAGAGACCAAAGAGACCAAAGAAAGTGAGTTATTCCTCTATGTTCCACTAACACTACCAGGAACTCTTCTTACACTCAAACTGTGCTGTGTGCTGTGTGTGAACACAGGCCAATTACCGAAAGTCAGAAAAGACCCTGGTTTCTGAATCAGGCCCTATAAACAAACATTGTAGTTCTTTAATTTTGATTTTTTCATGCTGCCTTCTAGTACATGTCTGTATGTACACATGCATTTTTTTAACTTACGCATCTTTGAAATCACAGCATAGATAGAATTTTATGTTCTCTCTCTCTTTTTTTTTTACTTAATGTTATGCTCCCTACATGTTTCCACATGATAGCATTCTTCCTAATCACTTCTGCTCCATCCTTTTTTCACTTAACATCACAAGACAAAAGCATCCTTCCAGGTAATTTCCGTCTCTCTAAAGGAGACGTTTTTCATGACCACATAATATTCCATTGAGTTTACTCAGCCATTTTCCCCTTGATTCAATGATCCCATTCTTTGCAGCCCTGGATAATGATGCCTCCCTCAGCGAGCGTCTTCATTTGGGAAGGTTAGGGCTCAGCAGAGTGACCATGCTGGGTGTTCTCCAAGGCCCTGACTACTGTCCCAGTAATACGCCCAGAGTCTAGTCTCTGCTTTCAATCTGCAGAATCTTGAAAATGAGGGAGTGTGCAGCTTCACATGATGAAGACTTCAAACTTTACACTTAGTTCCCTTTAGACTGCTCTTATTCCCCACTTACTTTTAAGGGAATGAAACCTATCCTCTGTGTGTGTGTGTGTGTGTGTGTGTGTGTGTGTGTGCGCGCGCGCGCGTACACTCATGCACGTGCATGCATGTATGGAAGTGTGCTGTTGCATAAAGAGAGATAGAGACAAAGATAAATATGTATTGGTTCCCATCTGGGGGGGTTTTAGCCCCTAGGAGATATCTGGCCATGTCCAGATATTTTTGGCTGTTACAAATGGGGGGATGCTACTGGCATCTAGTGGGTAGAGGACAGCGATGCTGCGAAATGTATAGATTTAGCCAGAAAGAATTAACCAGTCCAAAATGTCAGTCATGCTGAGGCAGAGGAACCCTGAGCTAGATGATGATTGGGTGGAATAGACAGGGAGACAGGCAGACAGAGGCTGGGAAGAAAAGAGTGTGCAGCTTAGGCACACTTCAGGGTAGATGATCCGTTTCCATCGCGTGCCTCATACGATATATGGGAATCCTGCTGGCCCAGAGCAATACACATGGTTGTTCTCGGCTATGATTCCACTTGGCAGTATGGCCTTAGGCAAGTCTCTTTCCTTCCTCAAGTCCCAGTTTGCTCAGATTTTAAATGAACGGGTTAGGCTAGATGGTCTCCAGGGACAGTTCTCGGCGCTGAAATGCCGTCCTATTGGAAAAGCAGCTGAAAGTCTCTTCATCAGTGTCTTAGAGGGGTTGAACAGCAGTCTTCTAAGTTAGAGAAAAATACTCCTGATGATTCTGTGAATTTCAGAGGCTGGCTCAGGACCAGAAATACAGAAGGCTATAAATCCATAGCATGTTATAGTATTTCAGGATGATGTCAGGCTCAAGCTATTTCACCTTTTAAGAGAGGCAGTGAAACAGGACTCGAGCTCTGTGCTGTCGCTCTGAAAAAGGGTGAGTCGGGAGGGGATGAGGTAAAACAAACAGAGGTGGCCCGGACATTAAGTCTGCAATCCTGTCACCATCCCTAGAAATACCTGTGGGGTCCTAGACCTTTCCACCCACCTGCCCAGTACCTCAAAGTTGAAGCTTCATGGGGAGACAGAGAACCATGGGCACTGTTGCAGCTGTTTATTTTAGAGCTCGCCAGAGATGCAAAGTCACTTTTCCAAGATCACACAGCAGGGTCAAGTGGAATGGGGGTTGCCTCTCCTGTCAGGCTAACTGTCCCCATCCCCCTAACCTGTCTTCTTCCTGTCCTGAGAAATGCTGGCCAGAAGCGATTTCTCTGCACCAGACCCAACCAAACCCAACTTATTAGAACCATACATATATTTTACCATCTTTTCCTGCTGTGATGCCATGATCCCTGGAAAAAGGCTTGGGTGGGAAGGGGATTATGTTTCATATTATGATTGACAGGAAATAATTGAGAGAGATTTCCTGTCTCAATTTCTCTTCCTCCCTGCCTCTCAGCTTGCCCCTTCTCACACACGCGTATGTGTGCACACACCCCCACACACCCTCTCATACATCTTTATCTTTGTGCTAGAAGGCTCTGAGCAGTTCAGAAGTAATAGACTCTGTGAGCCCCATGACTGAGCAAGTTCGCCCTCCCGGCAGTTCAATCCAAGAGAAAACTCCCCCCACGCCTGCCAGTTCAAATCAAGGCCCTGCCCCATCACCATTCTTTTATAAGACACCGCTCTGCACTTAAAATCGCTACTTGCAGAATGTTCAGACCTGAATTTTAACCTCCTCTTAAACACAGTTGGATTTTAAAGTTTAAATATCTCCCTACCAGCCTATATGTGTTTCTCCAGTGCCTAAACTGAACATGAAACATGCTATCCATTGATTCTGCTGCAATCTGTTCCATCAATCTCCCCAAGATAAGCCAGACTCAATCTTCTAAGACACGTGGGGTAGACAACTGCTTCTCAAACTAGAACACACAGACCAGTCATCTGGCGCCCTTGTTAGAATACAGATTCTGATTCTCTAGGTCTGGAGTGAGAGGCCCCAGATTCTGTATTTTAAGTTACCTTTCAAGTGATGATCATTCTGCTTATTCTCAAGACACTCTGAGAGTAACGAGTAATTAGTGTAAGGTATCCACTGAATGTGCAGTGTTATGCTAGCTGCTTACGTGTGCTTAGTTAGACCTCAGAAAACTTCTGTAGTAGGCTTAGCATTCAGCGAAGATTCAACCGCCATTTAATGAGATACGATATTCCAGGCTGTGTGATTGGCATTAGCTGTAGAACTCATTAAGGGGCCTGGCTCTGGAAGCTAAGGATCTTGAGTTCAAATCCCGACTTGAAACCCTACTGACTCCTGATCATGAGCCAGTGACTTAACCTGTCTAGGAAATCAGTGTACTCCTATAGGGGTTGTGAGTTGGTTAAGTGCTATTAGATGCATGAAACACTGAGCACGGGGCCTGAGGACACATGATAAATGTTCAAGAAACATTGGCTGTAATGATACTGTCATAATGATGAGCCCAACATGATGCTGGCCATCCTGAGTGCTTATTCTCATAGAGCACCAGAGATGAAGTGGGATTCAGAGATGGTAATCAGTTTGCTCAACGTCACACTGTTGGTGAAGAGCCCAGAACTGGGACCAAGGTATCTGATCATGAGGGCTTCAATTGGACAAGAGTGTGCAGAATGTTTGTAAACCACAGCATGCCTTACTGTTGAAGGACAAAGTAGCAGCAGAAACATCTACTAGCCCAGAAATCAAAGTCCTCAAATGCCAATCATGCCCCTTCTTTTAAGTTTGAGAGCACCTTGGTTAAGTTGTCTTACTTCTTTAGGCATTGGTGTTTTCATCTGAAGAAATAAAGGGATTGCACAGAATGACTCTTGGGACTCCTTCCTACCTAAGCAATGATTCATTTCACAAGTCATAACGGTACTCAGGGCAGTGGAGTCACAGGGTGGAGAAGCCTGTGGTTACTTTGGGCAGCACCCCATTTACCCACGATTGATTGGGGGATTTCTGCACCAGGAAGCAGGGTACCCCGTTTGCTTAATGCTCTGGTTTTCCCCTTGCAGGTGGCATTGTCTTGAACCCGTCTTTCTATGGCATTCCTGGGCATACCCACACCATGATCCATGAGATTGGGCACAGCCTGGGTCTCTACCACATCTTCCGAGGCATCTCAGAGATCCAGTCTTGCAGTGATCCCTGCATGGAGACGGAGCCCTCCTTTGAGACTGGTGACCTCTGCAGTGACACCAACCCGGCCCCCAAACACAAGTTCTGCGGTGACCCGGGGCCAGGGAATGACACCTGTGGCTTCCATAGCTTCTTCAACACCCCTTACAACAACTTCATGAGCTATGCAGGTAGGGACCCCTGCTTTGCAGGGAGCACATGGCCGGGTGTCACACACGGGCTCAGGTCCTGGCTCAGAGAAGCCTGGTCAAGGTCTTCCTTTACTAAGACTTCTTCATCCCAACAGTCCCTCATCCTAGACAATCAGGATAATAGTCCTTGTGTGAGACCTCAGGGGTACTTGGAAGCTGTTGTATCTGAAGACTCCTCAGAAGCGCACACTTTAGGAGGCTGACTGGGGCCCAACCTCAGGAAACCTGGGTAGATTCTAGCTTTGCCTCTGGATCACCTGATGCCTTTGGGTCTATCACATCCCCTCTCTGGGTCTCACTTCGCTCAAGAAAATGGAATCTTTGGATCCAAGGAACGTTGGAGAAGTTTCCTCCTAATTTTGCAGCTATATTTTTCTAAGCTGGTGCTTACTGCAGCTTTTTCCTTTTCTTCCTTTTTTTTCTTTTACTGCAACTTTTTCTTAAACATAAATCTCTCATACCCTCTTTTACTATTTTACTACAAAAAAATAGAATGCTTTTGGTTTTGCAAATTGCATGAGATGGGGACATTCTTTTCCTAATTCCATATATCCTGTCAAAACTCTTTTCTTATACCATCAGTAATAGTGCTAAAGACTCATTCTTTGGGTTCAAGGATGTCCTGTACTTCTTTTAGAATAATATATCAAGGCCACTTCTAGCCCTTAGAACATTTTTGGAAAATTAAAACAAGGCCATCTCAGCCTTCACTGCTGGCCTCTTAGACCAAGAACCGTAGGGCCCAATCCACAAATTGCACATGGTAGCCCAGCATTGAATTTTATTATAATATTAAATTTAAGTGTCTTTTGCCCCTATGAAAATAAGTGAGTTCTGTGAAGGCAGATATTATCTCCAATGCCTCATGGTATTCCCAGCACCTAGCACAGAGACTGGTGCTTAATAAATGTTTGTTAAGAAGAAAGGGAGGGAAGAAAATGAATAAATTCTCATAAAGGTATGCAAAAGTGATTCTTATCAATAACAAAATTTCTGCTTGTATAAAAGTTTGTGGTTCATAGAGGACATTAATACACACTATCTCATTTAACTGGCAACAAAACTGTAGGGTAGAAACTATCTCCATTTTACAGATGGCAGTACTGTAGCTCACCAAAGTCCTTTGCCCCAGGTCACGCATCTGACCCCAAGCATTTTCTTCTCTTCTGCTCTTGTGCAGCTCTTCAGAAGAGACCTAGAGATGGGTGCATAGGAAGCAGAACAGCCAGGCTGGTTTTCATATTCTCTTCCACAGAGATGGGGGTGCAGGAGCTATCAGGCATGACTCTGGGGGGCTCTAGATGGGACTCCATCTCTCTTTGAACCAGGAAAGCTCCCTGTCAACTGTTTCCCATTTCTTCCGGGGTTTTGCCTCAGATTGTGTTGGAAGAGAGGATATTGCTGCTGAAACCCAGTGAATTTGATGATCCCCAGTGGGTCTTTCTGCCTTCCTGTTTGGGCTGATGACTTCTGGGGGCCTCTTCAGTTTAAGGCTCATGTCGTTCAAACCTGAGATCTGTGGAAGTGTCGACCACCCAACCTTAGCACCATAAAGGGGTCTTTAGGTTTAGGTCTTTAAAAAAGACCACAATGCTGGGTATTGCCTCAAAAGCAGATTCCCACTAGGCTCCCTTTCCCAGCCAAGCCGACATCCCACATCCGGTGCCCTGTCCTTTCACGCAGCCCTACTTACGTTCCATTTCTGTAGCACCTTTCCTTGGCCAGCTCGATGCACATGGAAAATAAACAATAACATGAATTTGGAAGTTTGCCGGACTGTTAGGGGCCTCAGAGCTGCCACTAGCTACTAGACCCCCATAAACTAAATCTTTTTTTTGTTGTTGTTCCCCTTCGTACAGATCTAAAGGGTGATTGATTTACTGTTGTTTTTTTAAAGGAACCCCTCAGCTCAGTGACCCATTAACAGCAGAACTAATTCACTGAGCTACGATAACAAACTTACACCCGCAAAAGCATATTCAAGGCGACCACGAGCTTTGAAATGTTTGTTTTCCTTAGGATCTCTGATAGATGAGGTGACAAAAGCAGTTGGATGAAATTCAAAATGCAGAACAGGATCGGGTTCTCATGGCCAGGGAGAGCTGTGCACAGAGGCTGCGAAGTCCTGGCCAGAGGGTGGGGACCCTGCTGGGTCAACTGCTTGGGGTTCCTTCCTTCCTGGGCACTTCTTCCTCAGGCCTGGTCACTGGTTGAGCAAAGAGTCTCGTGCAGTGCTGTCCACTAGAACTTTCCGTAAAGATGGACATGTCCTGTGTCCATGCTGTCCAGTATGGTAGCCACTAGCCTGATGTGGCTCATGAGCCCTTGAAATATGGCTAGCGAGACTGAGGAACTGAATTGTTAGCCTTCAGTAGTCTTAATTAATTGGAATTGAAATAACCCCAAAGGCTGGTGGCTGCTGTATTGGTCAGCACAGGTCTACAATAATTATTTATTTAAAAAATTTTTTTGAAATTTATTTATTTATGCTGAGAGAGAGACAATACATGTAGGGGAGGAGCAGAGAGAGAATCCCAAGCAGGTTCTGCACTGCCAGCACAGAGCCCGATACAGGGCTCAAACCCACGAAGCCTAAGATCATGACCTGAGCCAAAACCAACAGGTGGACACTTAGCCATCTGAGCCATCCAGGCACCTCAATACGTCTGCATTAATTATTGAGTGCCTATGATGATACACCACACACTGTGAAACACTTCATAGGCTTGTCTTATAGAGTCCTCAAAATAACCCAACGAGGTGAGTGCTATTCTTACTGAACCTATTTTACAGATCAGAAAGTGTGGGTTTCATGTAGCCTAAGGAACTTGCCAGGGTCACACAGCAAAAAGAAGGTAAGCCTTTCTCACTGTGGAGCCTGTGCTTATAATCATTCATCATCTGGCTCTGTTTCTGATGCTAAGGGAGATAGAGGGGGTCCCAAGTACTCAGTTCAAGCAAACACCAGGCAGGTTGATTGGGGCAAGCTTAGTTGAGCACCAGGCGAGTACCGTCACCTTGAGCTGTTGGATAAGCCCTGAGCAGGTAGAAAAGCAGAAGCCTAGACTCTACTTTCTGAAGATGATGGGCCATAGGAGGCCCCCCCAAGAGCACCGTCCAGTCAGGTCTTCCTCAAGAGTGAAGAAAACAGGCCTTCTCCAGCCTACAGGAACAAGTGTATTGTTACCCTCATTCTGCATGTCAGGGCCTTTGAATACAAATGGATGCTTCAACCCTGCGCTCCCAGCTCTCAGGAATAGATCCTACAGAAATAAATTCATTGACTTCTTTGAAGATGTAATCATAAGAATGTTCTTAGCAATATTCATTGTCCAAGTATCAATTAAGTATTTACTACCTGCCAGGCTTGAAGAAAAATGCTTATGTGTGTGAAAAATTAGAAACTGTTAGCAAGTCCAATGAGAATGGATTGTTGTAATAAATTGTGAGGCCTCTGTATGATAGAACATTATGTGGTCACTAATGATAGTGTAGTAGATGAAGAAGAGGGGTAAACAGAAGCAGAGTAACCTGGTGCAGAGCACCAAGTTTGGGCGTGCAGGCACTGAACTTGAATCCTCCCTGCATTAGCCTTTGACCCTAGGCAGTGACTTCTCCTCCGAGCCTCACTTACTTCCTGGATAGCATGAAGGATAATCACACCTCCCTTTTGTGATAGTAGGTGTAATCATGCAGGTAAAGGATTTAGAACTGTCCTTGGTACCATAACTAGTTCTTCCTAAGTGATATTAGTGGGTTTATTTGTTAACTATTTAATGTGAAAATGGTCAGGGAACCTCGTACAGTGTAAGACCTGGCATGTGTGTGTGTGTATGAATATATGTATGTATATAAATGTATGTATATATATGATGTAAATATATTTATGATAATGAGAATTATAAATATTTATATGCATATACATACACACACATATACTCCTATGTACTAAGTATTAATTGTATTATCTCTAGATAATGAGTTTAGGGTTATGTTTATTTCTTCATAACTATTTTTGGCACATTCCACATATTTTACAGTGAATGTAATCATTTATTATCACTATCATTATTTAATAAAAACCAAAAAGTCAGGGATTCTTACAAGGGACAGCTATAGTTATCCATATACTAGACACGAATTAGCTTATTAAATGCTCTCATTAGCTTTAGGAGGCAGGTAGTATCACTATTCCCTATGGTTACAATGGGTACAAACAAGGCTGGCAGGGGCCAGCATTTTGCTCGGGGTTCCACAGCACATGGCAGCCCTGGGTCCATGACCCAACCTCCCGTGCTCTGCAGTCTCCATGCTGCAGAGGGGAACATGTTCTGGAGAACAAAGTTCAGTTACCAAAGTCAGGGCAATGCACCAGCAGCATGGGGACGGCAGCATGGGGATGAGATCCCCAAAGTCCTCTCGGCTTAGGGATAAGATGGGCTGGCTGGTCCTGGAGATCACGTGTCGGGAGGGGAAGCATGTGGAGGCAGGAAGCCAAGAGGGACTGACTCTAGACATGAGCTAATTGAGACAGAGCATTGTGATAAACGGAAACCCTTTGGTACCTCCCCCAAGATTCTGATAGCACCTAAGTCTCTAAGCAGTGTACCCTGGGACAGACGTTTGCTGACTTCTACTTTCAAGTTCACATGCATTTCTGTTTTCCTGCTAAGTTCTGTCATCTATCTCTTTTTCATACTCTTTTTTATTGAGAAACATGCAAATGGCTAATTTTTAAATCATTAATGGAAAACACACTCTTTTGGGAGAAAAGGAAGAAAGGCACAAATAAGAGTGTCTGGAGGAAAAAAAAATGCTGGTTTTCTCTTCCATTCATCTTGATAAATGCTTTATGTCCTCCAGCTCACTGGGTCCCCACAGCAGCACTGTGGAGTGGGGTCAATTTAAATGTCCCCAATTTATACATGAGGGACCTGAGTTTTAGAGTTACTTCTCTCTTTTGGAAGTGACTTATTAGTATACTACTCAGTGCCTGTGCCTTAACATACATAGACATTCCCCTATTAATAGCCAGATGTGTTATTTCTGATATTTTTACCATTATAAATGATGCTTCAGAAAATATCCTTGTACCTAAATTTTCCGTATGTTTCTTCATGAATATATGTCTATTGAATTCCTGAATGTGATATTGCTACATCAAAGAGAATGAATATTTTAAATTCTGGGATTTTTCCTGCTTCTGGTTTTCTAACGCACACACATGTGCTGTTTGCAATCATGAGGCAGTGAGGATTTACTGAGCATTTATCATGGTTCTTTGTGTTCTACTCCCCTTACCCTTTAACCGAATTCGGAGGTGAATGCTCTTGCTAGCACCATCATCCCCATTTACAGATAGGAAAACTGAGGCACTGAGTCGTGAATTCACTTGCCCATTTGACTCCAGATCCTTCATGTATTGGTCTAACTCTTTATCCATACTTTCTTAGTCCCTTCTCCTGACTCTAACCTATTAAGTGGCTTTTCCAAGTGCACTTTTTGCATTAAGAAGGGCAAAGCTCACAGCAACAAAGAAAAACGTACCCAATGATCTGGCCCTTCTTAGACTGAGACATTTGGACTCTATTCTCCAGGCAATGGGGAGCCATAGAATGTTTGTTATCCAAGGAATTAGATGGCTACATCCGGGCTCAAGGGAGATGCATGTGGCTAAAGATACTTGCTAAGGGACACCAGGCTCTACTGCTTCTTCCAAACATATGAAGGAGTCCCCAGGATGCTGGAGAAGAGACAGACTGTCGGAAGTCACTCAGGAGATCAGAGGCAGCTTCTGTGTATAACCTCCTTGTACTCCTGTCCCTTCCCCAAGCTGGATTCTCAAGGTCCTATCCAACTGCCTAGCACCTGCCCAAAGTTATTTTCTGTTTGTTTGATAAGGGGGAAGTCAGTTTATGTTGCAGGATTCCCAGTGGCGGGTTTATTTTAAGATCTGGCGAGCCCCATGCTTCTCTGTCTGGGGCCCAGCTGCAGAAACCCTGACCTGGCCGACACCTCTGGGAAGTGGTGTTTTTGGAAACCAAGCGAAAACAGTGCCTTGCTCTGCCCCTGAGGCAGTTGAATAAAGCTGTTGGAAGGGTAGACAGGAGGCAGGCTTCTTCCTTGAGAGGCGAGTCTTGGATACTATTCAGTCCACATGGTCGAAAAGAGAGTAGGGCTGAAGGTCATTTGATCTAAAGACATTTAAGAGATTGTATTCCAGTCAGCTCAGACTCAGGCTCACATCCTATTAATCACCTGCAGGATACTGTTCCCATACAGGGTCTCATTTATGCTCAGACGTCCTTCTATTGATTCGAAACATGGTCTTAGCATCAAGACTGCCTGGGTTTGAGTCTTGGATCTATCCCTAACATTGTGATCTTAAATAAAGCTGCATGACCTCTCTCAACCTCTATTCCCTTCTCTGTAAAATGGAGAAAATCATAGTATTTACTCCCCAAATCATGGGAGTGTTAAATGTGTCCAAGGCCCAGTGCACCATGCCTGGCTTATACTAAGCACACAGCAAATGTCCCAGTGACAGTGCTGTCCTCATTCCCAGGACGGACATGAGCCTGATAGTTCCTAGGGCTGCCTGCCTCTGGCTGTGCTCACTGCAAAGGACACCATGTCCCTGGGTCCTGTAGCTCCCTACAGTCCTGACCTTTCTTTCTCCATCTGAGCCATCCAGTCTGGTTGACCTCAAGTACCTCCTTCTTCAGAAGCCTCCCTGGAGCACTGCCCTTCCCCAACGTGCTGTCTCTTGTTCATCAGTGGTCAGCATTGCAGTCGTCAACAGTCTTCTGATCGCCTTGACTCATACAACAAACTGGCCTTCACTCTGTAGCTAGAGTGGTCCCTCCTCTGGGGCAGGAACATTTTAAGTTTCATCTTCCCGTGGCCCCTGGGACAGAGAAGAGAATATGGGATAGATGCTCCGAAGGTTTGTGAAGGACAGTATCACTGCATCCATGGATAGTGGAATGGATGAATGAATGTATGGGTGAATAGAAGGGAGTGAGTGAGTGAATCAACAAGGAAATGAATGAATGAACGAATGAATGAATGAATGGGAGATACTAGGTGAGTAGTGAGGCAGGGGCAGAATAAAGAAATACATCGCTTACTGACCAGGGATTTGGGGGCCCATGGAAAGCAATTTACCTGTCCCTTGTCCTTAGCTGTGACCTCTGGGCTGCTCAGTCCCATCCACCCTCCCCTTCCTCCCGTTCCCTCTCACCTGCCTCCAGAGGTGATGACTGCACTCATTTGTGCACAGACCATTAACTCTTAAGCACTGAAAGAGGCCAGCTCTGTGTTGGCAAGGACTGGGGTGCTGGCTGGCTGTTCCCTGGGAGACGTCATAACTCTCTCTCATGCCCTCCCATGCAGCCAGGTTTTTATCTCTCCCTCTGCCCACTCGCAGATGACGACTGTACGGACTCCTTCACGCCCAATCAAGTTGCCAGAATGCACTGTTACCTGGACCTGGTGTACCAGAGCTGGCAGCCCTCCAGGAAGCCGGCGCCTGTCGCCCTGGCCCCCCAGATCGTGGGCCACACGACCGACTCCGTGACGCTGGAGTGGTTTCCGCCCATCGATGGCCACTTCTTTGAAAGGTGAGTGTGGCCTGTGAAGTGGTGATCCCTCTCTCTCCTGCCAAGAAGAAGGGACTTCAGAAGGGAAGCAGTCTTGGAGAGGAGTTGTGCTGTTTTCTCTGTCCTTGCTCTCTTGTTCAACTGCCCCTGGCAGTTCAGCCACTTAACAGTGACTGGTCCAGATAGGCATGTTGTAGATTTGGGGGTCAGGGGATACATGAATGATTGCTAATCGGAATTAATAAGTAATGATGCATGCTTTCAATGAATGAATGTTTAGCTTTATTTTATTCTGAAATACCTGGAAACTCTATCCTCTGGGATGGAGGTCCTGATCTCTTCTCCATGCATTCAGGATTTGAAATTGCCCCTGGTTAATGGGTAATTGTAATATATGTATAGTATATATTAAATATCAAGGTGTATATGTGTATATATACATATTCATATCATACATGAATATACATGCAAATATATATATATAATATATGTATAATACATATAATTAGAATCTTTGTGCACAGTATTTCTTTGTAGAATTGAAGGTAGAATTTTTAGAAGACCAGGAATGATAAACCGAGGCACAGGAGTTCTGCTCCCCCATCTGCCACTTATTAGCTGTACTGACTTGGGCAAGTTACTTTCCCTTGCAGAGTGGTCTTCTACCTCAGAAACGTGTGTCTTACGATGCCTCAGTAGTCTGCAGGCATGAACCTGAATCCAGGGGTCTCTTGTGATGCCTTTCAGCATGGAGACCCTCTGAGGAGCTCAGGCTTTAAGGAAAACAGATTCTAAAGAGTCGGGAAAATAGATTAAGATGTTGACATCTACCCTTGCCTTTAATTTAGGGCTTATTAGTGTCTTAACCTCTATCCCAGCCCTTCTTGGGAGTGTTTTATCTCATACTGATGATATACCATTGATGATGGCAAAAATAAAAGCCAGCTAATGATTAACAAATAATTCTCTGAGGTCGTGGCTGTTGCCATTCATTAAGTGCTTACTCTGGGAAAGATTCTGCATTAAAAGCTTTGTTTGCAGAGTCTCATTTACTCTTTCTAGTAACTCTATGAAGGGGGAATCATTTTCCTCATTTGCTGGGTAAGGCAGGAATTGGAGCTGAAAGAGGCTGAGAGATTTGACCAAGAGCCCGTAGAAGTTGGTGGGAGCTGGGCTCTGACTCACATTTTGCAGCGTCTTGTCTCTGGCCCCTGTGTGTTTTCATTAAGTCCGTCTAAAATTTGAATTATGAAGGGGGTGTTACCCCTACCCTCAAAAGAGCCACAGAAGGTGGTAAGGAGCTCTCGTGGTGTGTGTGTGTGTGTGTGTGTGTGTGTGTGTGTGTGTGTGTGTGTAAATACATATTAGTTCATGGTGCCACATTAAATTGAGGCTCTGGGGCACCTGGGTGGCTCAGTTGGTTGAGTGTCCAATTCTTGATCTCAACCCAGGTCTTGATCTCAGGGTCGTGAGTTCAAGCCCTGCGTTGGGCTTCTCACCAGGCGTGGAGCCTTCTTAAAAAAAATGGGATCTCTAATTTTCTACAGTACCATCAGTCCCTGAATCTAGAACCTTTGTCTGGCAGCTGGGTGCATGTGTTCATAGGGGAAGGAAATGTAATCCCTGGGCCCTCTATAAAAACCCCCTTCCCCTGCCCCCAGCCGCCCTCACTGGGAGCTCAGAGCTGGGTTTGGGAAACCTCATGTGACACTTCAGAGCAGGCTCTCCAGCAGCCCGTAGATTTATTTATTTTTTCTGTGGCGATGAGAAGTATCAGACTTTTGGTCAAGCCTTGGCCTCAATTCCACTTAAAAATGGAAGTTTTGTAAATGAAGCTTCCTGTGTATGTATTTAATTTATATTTCATAAAGCAGTTATTGTCCATTAAATAAATACCATCTGATTGTTGGAAACCTATTGGAGGGTTAATTGTTGTGTAATGAGATAGGTCTCTATTACATGGTACCCTCAGCTCCAATCAATATGTTTTTAATAACCTATAGTCAGTTGGTACTTGAGGCTCGTACAATAGCTATTCTGTTCAGTCTAAGATTTCATAACGGAGTTATCATATGTTAAATTAAAACTGACATTTTAGAAACATGTCTAATTAGGGTTAACAGCTACATAGACGATAGACTATGGCTAAAGGAAGTTGGTCCACCAGTTCAATAAATTGTTACAAAGAAATTGAGCTATCACTCCCGCATACACTCAGTTTGCACTCATGTGCATTGGCCTGGTGCAGAGCATACAAGCTCTACTGACAAATTGTCTGCACTCCGCTCCCCGCTCCACCACTCTTGGTCTATGGGGCCTTTGGCAAGCATTCTCACCTTATTCTCTCTGACCCTCTGAATCTTCTTCCATAATTGTGCCCACTTCAGCTGGATTTTGTGGGGAATTCAACAAACATGTGACATCTGTGGTATGCCTAGCACACCCTCTATGTTCAAGAAATATTAGCTCCCATCTCATACGAAGTTTCCCAGAGCTGTTTAGCTACTTGAAAATTCTCTTTCCCTGCAAAATCTCTGGTGTTTTCCACTACATCCATCAATGCCAACCTCTCGCCCCTGGCCATCCCTACGTCCTCCTGCTGTTCCTCACATCTGTGGTCTAAGAGAATACAAGGGTTTTCCTTAAAAAAACATATTCAGATCCTCCCACAGCCTGTGTCCTCACACATGGGCAACTGAATAAATAATTCAAGGCCACCCCTGGCTTTTCTAACTCCTTTATTTTTATCTGTCTTGCAAACATGTGTTGATGGAATGGTTTCAGTTATCTGAACAATTGGTGGTGGGGTATTAGAAAGAATTCTGGACTGAGAAGCAAGAGACCTGGGTCTCAAGTCTTTGCAATCTCATTCATTTCCTCTTCCTCTTCAGCCTCAGTCTTCTGATCTGTAAGCCAAAGGGCATCTAGCCTTTTGCAACCAAGGTTCCTATTTGCAAATCTCAGAACACAGAAAATAACTTGAGTAACTATTTTCTCAATTCTCCTTAGAATGGTACATAATGAGTACCATTCTAGATGCATAGGAGAGAAGTAAACTCATCATACACAGTGGACATCTTAAAGAAGCACTGTTCAATGGTACTTCTGCAGTAATGGAAATATTCTCTATCTGTACCATCCAATATGGTAGCCATTAGCCAACTGGCTATGAAGCACTTGAAATGTGACAAGTGTGGAACTGAATTTATTTAAATTTATTTAATTTATAATTTATTAAATTTATTTAATGTTAATTAACTTACGTTCAAAGACCCACATGTGACTGCTGGCTGCCATATTAGCACAGACTTGAGCATTAAGCTTTGATTCTCATGGAACCTAGGTGAGAAAGATGATCTCTTCCAGTGTTAACATCCTGTACATCTGTGATTTCAGAGTGTGTGTGTGTGTGTGTGTGTGTGTGTGTGTGTGTAGATACAGGTGCAAATAAAAATCAAATAAATGCCAGAGGTAAAAAAAAAATACTATATACTCCCTGGATGTATAGATACTTCCTGATTTTGGTAAAGCCTTTACAAGCTATAACCTTGGCATGAGTACATTGTACTCATGATCTTCTATTTCCTAATCTGTAAAATGGGAACATGACCCACTGCCCAGAATCACACCATTGCTTTTTAGTTGCTGACTTAGCCTTTACTTTTGTCCTTCTTTCCTCAATCCATGTTTCATTTAGCATTCAAAGCAATCTTTTTAAAATGTAAATTATATCATATTGCTCCATGACTTGGAGTGGCTCCAGTGGCTTACAACCCTCTAGTGGCTTCCCATTTCTTTTATGTATGATCACCATGTGGTCTACAGGACTTCCCATGATCTAATCCTTGCCTATTTGTCCAACTGCCTCTCTTACCACTCTTTCCTTCATTCGTGACTCCTGTCACTCACACTTCCTTTGGGATCCCTATACACCAAGCCCTTTTTTTTCCTGCTTAGGTCCTTTATGTTCCTGCGACTGCCCCTGGAATACTTTATATCTACTCTTTATGTCATCCTTCAGCTCTCACCATAGATGGCATTCCCTCACTAAGGCCTTTCATGACTGTTCCAATTTTAATTAGCCCAGTACACCTCTCCCACTGGTATTCTTGCATACGTCATACATTTCCTTTGCTTCTAGAACTTAATGAGCCTGTTATTTTATATTTGTCTACTTGTTTATGGACTATCCACCAGGCTGCAAGCTCTCTGAGTTATAGGTAGCACATCTAATTTCCTCACCCTTCGATGGTCAATGTCTGGTACTTGTACAGTGCTAACAGCTAGAGGCTGTTCAATGACTACCCATTGAATGAACAGATGAAAAAATGAATGAATACATGAACCAATGATTGAATATGATGAAAGGTATTTTGTAGGGCTCTGTGCAAACAAGGCACATTTACTGTCAGGTGGATGATGGTTTAGTCACTCATCAAAGTATTTATTGGAAACCAAGGATGTGTCAAGAACTCTGTGAAGTACAGGGCACTCACTCTATGAGTGTCATCTGAAGCATGACATATAAAGAAATAGAAAGAAAGGTTCCATGTCCATTAAGGTCAGTGTGTTTCCTAATTCCATCCCAGAACCTTTATAATCTCATTGTCATCATAGAGCCAGTCATGTGACTCTGAGCTGCTATGCATGGTTTGTGGTCATTGTAATGGAACTCAGCCTTCCAGAGTAAGGAACTCTCTCTCCACTCCTCATTCCCTGTCTACAAGTATATTTGTATAATTATTGTGATTGCTAGTCCAGGAGTAACTCCTAGATATTCAAAATACATAGAAAATTCAGAAAACCAGAAGGAATAAAAATGGGGATCATCCTATACTTGTTCCACCACCCAGACATTGCTGCCAATATTTTGTAATATTGAAGTTATTTGAACAGTACTGAGATGCTGCTATAAATTCAGTTTTGAATACAACTTTTTCACTTAACATTATAGCATTCCATGACATTTCAGGGAACATTTTTGTAATGACTTCTTACCATTTTATTGACCATGTTAATCTTAGGCTATTTCATCATTCTCCTACCACTGGATATCAATGTGCTTGCAAAATTTCTACCTACGTATGATTTTATATTTATAGTGATAAAGCTGAGGATGCAAATTCTGCAATTTGAGAGTCTAGACTAGGCTAGTCATGAGTCTTAGCAACATGTCTGAGTTACTGGTGTTCACCCATTCATCTATCCACCTACCCATCTATCCACCCATCCACCACCCACCTATCCACCATCCATCCATACATCCATCCACCCACCCACCCATCCACTCACCAATGCACCCAGCCAGTATCCACCCATCCACCATCCATCCATCTACCCACCCACCCACCCACCCACCCATTCACCCATCCACCTATCCACCCATCCACCTATCCACATATGTTGACCACCATATAAGCAGATAAGCAGGAGAATGATCTGTTAAGATATAGATTTGGGGATGAGTTCCCTGGTAGCTGTGTGGAAGAGGAATGGGGAACACCAATAGACAGATGCTTACAAGTATACTCTTTCTTACCATGTGATCCCAAGGGCTATAGAGCTTCTCTGTGAAGGGAAAGCCCTAAGACTCCTCCACTGTATCTTTCAGGTAGTCAAGGGATAAAGATTCTTCTAGGAATGATGAAAGAGGTATTGGCAGGACCATTGCATTTTGAGAAATAATGGGCTGATCCCTCTCCCCTCCTGGCAGCTGCCTCCTAAACAGATGCCAAGTCTGGAGAACAAGCAAGATCCCAGAGGCTATTGTGGCTAAGGGGAGATTGAATCCAGATACATGAGACACTAGATGGTAGCGGAAGCCACTGTAATATTCCACTTCTAGGGCTGTTCCCTTCAAGGGATTGGCTTGCCCCTTGGAAAGCTGCTAAAAGGAATTTGATACCATGGTAAAGAAACTGCTTTTCACTGTTAAAGGTGATTCATCCATCCACACAGTGTCAGGGCTGGAAGGTTCTATAGGCACCATCTGGTTCACCCAACTCATTTTTGAATGAAGGAACTAGATCATGCCTTCTTTCTATTTCATACCTAGGACCCAGGATGGTGTCTGGCACATGGGAGGTACCTGATAAGCACTGTTAAAAGAATAAAATTGGAGGTTAAATGGGACTAAAGATTTTTTCACAAGCACACATCAAGTCCTCAGTGGAGCCTTGAATGTCTGATGAAACTAAGATTAGTACAGGTAGTAAGTAGTTGGCCTGTTGATTCTGTACTGCTTGAAATTAAACAAGTGTATCTATCGTTATGACAGAAACCACATAGGCCTAAATAAGATCTTTGCTGAACACTGGGGAGGAATTTCACTTATGCTCATATTCTGGAATCTTTGGCGAGGATAAGGAGGATAGGGTAATGTGGAATTGTTGTGTCTTCTGCCCTGGATCAGGAGCTCATTCAACCATTCCTAAGTCAGTGCATTTCCCTTCTTTCCTTGGCCTCCTAGAGAATTGGGATCAGCATGTGAACTTTGTCTGGAAGGGAGAATCCTGGTGCAGTATGCCATTAATGCCTCCTCCCCGATGCCCTGTGGCCCATCAGGACACTGGAGTCCTCGGGAAGCAGAAGGTAAGGCCACCTGGAAGCTCATTTACAGGTTAGGGGTACAAAGAACAATTCTTTACATACTATCTCATTTGATCTTTATGGAATCTTCAAGGCCAAGTTTTTAAATTTTATTTTATTATTTATTTATTTATTTTTATAATTTTATTCTTTTATTAATTTTATTTTTTAAAATTTTATTTTTGTCTTTTCCCCCAAGTGTTTTTGAGACATTTTTGACATCTAACATCACATTGTACAAAGTGATGATTTGATACATGTATCATTGTGAAGTAATTACCACAGTAAGGTTAGTTTACACATCCATCATCTCATACTTTTTTGTTTTTTGTGGTGAGAACATATAAGATCTACTCTCTAGGCAATTTTCAAGTGTATGATACAATATTATTCACTAGAGTCCCCATGTTGTATATTAAAACTCCAGAATTTATCCATCGTACAACTAGAAGTTTGCACCTTTCGGCCAAGATCAAGGCCAATACTCATGTGTCGATTCAACACAGTCTTTGAACTCTTCACTGTGTTAGGTTTGACATCCCACTTTAAATTTGAGGAAACCAAGGTGCTGAGATAGTGAACAAGTGCCTGAGGCCACACACCTGATAAAGACACAGCTTGTATGTGTGTTTATACACGCCTCCTGACCCCGACAGCGTGTTGGTTCAAGATCACCTTAGAATCAGCACACATACCTGGGGGGGGGG